CCTAAACCCAAATGGGGGTTTCCGAAAATAGGGGACCCTAATATAGTACCCTAAATAATAGGATCCCTATTATAAGGACCCCAAAATAAGGTACCCCTAATTTCGGAAACTCCCAAATCCAAGTCCCGACCTCCAGAGCCTCCATGTGCTCGCGCTGCTCCGTCAACATCTTCTCCAGACCTCAGACGGAGCAAGAGACAGTTTAGGGTTTTAGGGTTTTGGGTTTAGGGTTTTAGGGTTTTAGGGTTTTGGGTTTAGGACAACCGAGCTTTACGTAGCCGCGTAGCCGTAGTATGCCTAGGCTGCAGGGCAGCCAACAGCTAAGTCTGCGAATCACAACGACACGGAACCAAGAGACAACAAGACTAGTAGCAACACCACTCTCGTGGCATTTCCCGTAGTGGCACCAACAGACATGGCAGCGAAAATGTTGATCAGCAAACCGCGATCGTAACAGCGGCAGCTCGTAACAACCAGCCCTGTTGTCATCACAACCAGCAACAACACCTTCATCATGAATATCACCATCATATACCATCCCCGTTTAACATCATCTTGATCATGGTTATGATCATTATCATCCCGGTCATCACCTTCCACATCATCATCCGCACCATTGTGACAAGAAGCAAGGAAAAGTCTGCGTGCTTGCAAGGCACCCTACCCCCGGTGCATCACATCCCTTTTTGATGGCTACATGGCTAAAAAGCTCATGCACCCTTCGGCCCTTCATCGATTATCCTCCCGAGACCCTGCACTTGAGCGATTTGAGGCTCACCCCTGTCTGAGCCCTGCCTCCGCTCCTTAGATCCTGGCGCTGCCGGGTTTCCTCTGAGGCGCTTTTGGTCTGCTGCACCTCTGGGCTGAGAAGTGCCGGATGCCCCATGAGGCATCCACTTGGAGAGGCTCCAGCTGTTCGAAGTACGCTTACACGGTGCGTGGCGCTCTGAATCGAAGCTTGGGGCCGAGGAAGGTGAGGGGCCCTGCAAGTCGATTCGTCTCCACTTCGAAGCTTGCAAACGGTAGCTTCAACCCCAGAGTTCTCTGTGGGTTTCAGCGCGTTTGGGCTTGCTTCGGGTAAGTCGAGAGATGTTTGGAGTCATCTTAGCGAACCCTATAAGCCCTACACCCAAAGGGAGCCCTAAACCCCCAAAAGAGCCCCTTAAACCCTAAACCCCAAACCCTAAAAACCCTAAAACCTTAAAGCCACAAAGCTCTAAAACCCCCTCAAAAGGAGGCCTGCAAACCCAAACCCTATAAAACCCCTAAAACCCTAAATTGCCTAAAGCCCTAAAACCCCCCAACCAAAAGGAGCCCTTCCTCCCAAGCATCCCTAAACCCTAAACCCTAAACCCTAAACCCTAGCATCCTCGCCGGACCTCGGCTCTCAACGCTGCCGTTTGCTCTCGGGCCTGGGACCCGTTCTATTGGACGCATTGGACTATCAGGGGTTTAGGGGTTTAGGGGTTTAGGGGTTTAGTGGTTTAAGGGTAAAGGGGTTCAGGGGTTTAGGGGTTTAAGGGTTTAGGGTTTATAGATTTATAGGGCTCAGGGATATCTATTGGGCTCATTGGGCTCCGAAGGTTTAGGGTTTGGGGATATCAGGGTTTTAGGGTGTATGGTTTAGGGAACCAGGGTTTAGGGTTGGGGGCTTGGGGATATCAGGGTTTAGGGTGTACGGCTTAGGGATATCAGGGTCTAGGGTTTAGGGATATCAAGCGATAGCTTTAGGGCATCAGGTTCTGAGGTTCTAAGGATTGTCTATATGGGAGTTTCCGAAAATGGGGGACCCTAGTGTAGTACCTCAAATAGTAGGATCCTTATTATAAGGACCCCAAAATAAGGTACACCTTATTTTCGGAAACTCCCATATCCGTGTCCTAAGGGTCTGGACCTGATGATGCGTATGAGGTCTCTTTGCTGTAGGTGCTGAGCCCTTCTACGACTAGGCCCAGATTTGCAGACGAGAAGACATGGGCCTCAAAAGGCGTAGTGCTGAAAACGATGCTGAATTTGCAGTCTTCCCGAGATACTTTCAGCAATGTCAGCTCTAAGACATGCTTAGAGTGATTGCCCTACCGGCACAATCCCTGAGACCACGACGCACTTTCTGAAGCAACCATGCAATGGGCAGCAATGACTCTCCAAAAGACCGTGAAAATCAACTTGCTTGGCAAACT